TCCTGGTGGCCAACCAGCCTCTCTGGGACCTGCTCGGAGTCGGAACCCTGTCCAGGGTCTTCCACATCCTCCAGAGCCAACTCAGATGGCCCTTCGCTGTCGGAGCTGGTGGCAGCTCCAACGACTCCTGCTGGGCCACAACAATATCTGAATGCTCAATGTTGTTTTTCCATGTGGAAGAGAAGAAAAAGTTTCTCTAATCCCATAAGGGGAGAGTTGTCATGGAAGAATGCAAAGTGAACTGAATTTCATTGTGCCCTGTACATGAATAGTGATAATTTACATAACAATCTATGGTAAAACTGACAGTGGTGTTTTATCCATCTTTATTAGCAATTATGGTAAAAACAAAGGCTGCTTCTGAATAAAGTGGAAATATCAAAGGGATTCACACTTAATGGAATTGTTGTAAATACTTGCAAGACAAAATGATGAGTCAGACACTTGGATTTCATTTAAATGATCCTTTAACTTATGTTAATTTGCTTCATGAATCTAAAACCCTGCTGCTGAAGTAAGCACTTGTCAATGCAGTATAATAATCATAAAATACCTGACTTCAAATCTCCTATTGTTATTAGTTAGCTTGGTGCTTGCCAGAACATAACCATCTATATTTTAAATGTCATAAACATGATACCACTGCATGATGCTTCTTTTTCATTTTGATACCATTTTATCTGCAAAAGAGTTAATATGTTTTCCAATTAAAACTCGACCTGCTCTGAGTTAGAGAACACTGCTAGGGCACATTGACCCATAGAGTATGCACAAAGGAAACAACTAATTTGTATAAATGTCCTGTAGCCCATATACTACTTTTCTATTCCCTACTTCCTCTCAGTAGCACAAGTAATTTGAGTGAACAACTTCCAATGCCCCATGCCAATTCTGAAACTTTTTTTCATGAGCCCTGGATCCCATCCATCTGCCTTGGAGAGGATACTTTCCCTTTATTTTGAGATGGAGACATGAACAATCTGAAGTGTAGGTCTAAAATACGAACTTTAAAAATAATCCAACCACCACCCCCACCACCCCCGCTCCATCTCTACTTACACTGCTCCATAAAAAATCCTGGTCCTTTTGAATGCAAGATACAGTTCCATACACTTTGAGTTATTGCTTTGCCTTCATTGCTCAGAAAACCATTAAATGCTACCCCCTCCCCCGATTATCTAATGGTTGCCCACCACTATATAAAATTAATCAAGAAGTGATACAGGAAACCTGTAGATTCATAAACTAATGACAATGTATTTTACAATGAATATGATGATGATTTATCACTGTTGTTGTATGTACACTGNTCTATCTATCTATCTATATGAATTTTAACAATTCCTAATTAAGAAATGTTTAATAGTTAACATGAAATTGTATTAAGAATATAAACACATCATTATGTGAAGCTTACGTTAATTCTACAAAGGATTTAAATATATTTTCATCTTAAACATTTCTTAAATTATTTATATTTACCTCAATAAATATATCAAGGTACCAGTCTTCTTAGAATTTGAATGTTATAATATGTAGAAGGGAAATTGATTATACCAATCTATTGTTTATTAAGAAATAACCCAAGAATATGGGATTCAAACCATTTAAAAATTTAAACTTTTAAATGGTTTGAACCTAAAAATAGTTTGCACCAAAAATAAATAAATAGATAGAAAGCACTGAGAAGGGTTTAAAAAACCCAAGAATTCTTGAATACCAGTCTGTCAGCTTCAGAATGACTAGATGCAATATACATATAAGATAAAATCCCAGGACACCTCCAAAAGTAAGGTCCACTGTTAAAAGAATGGTACCAAAATATTTTCTTTTCACGGCTTTCAATAAACCAAAGTGGGAGATTGGGGTAGTATACAGTGCAACAGTCTGGCAACCAGACCATTGCCTTAGTCTGATTCATCAAATATATCACCACATTAAGCCTAAATGGTTTTTTAAAAAACTGGATGCAGGTACTGCATTTTAGGAAGGACATTGATAAAATTGCATGAACTGATGACAGCAAGCTAGAAGATAAAGATCTGGAAAGTGGAGGGGGGGATGTGGAATGCGTAGGGCTGCTCCAGGATGCAAAGGTTTAAATAGAGACTGAAAAAATTATGTTAGGGATACTGTAACAATGGGTTCCTCCACTGGATGAGATTATTTCCAGATCGCTTCTAACCCTCATTTTCCATGATTCTGTGTGCAAGTAATCCATTCCCTCGAGTCACTACAAAGGTTTGTTGGCATAAAACACAACCTGGTGCTATTTCTTAATAATACAACCTCTATAACCCTCTGCTGCATTAAAAAAAACATATACTTTATCTGTCCAAAAATGAAATCTTATGGCACTTCAGGGTGCTTTGTCTGGGGATTAACAGAGTTTTCTTTCTTCTGGAGCAGTTTCTGAAGATTTAGAGCTCCAATAATGGCTACTGGTTTTCCTTGCTGGCTACCAATCAGATGTATCTTTGAAACTGATGACCATATCTGTTCTGACCCCCCTCGTCCCACACCAACACACACTCCGAGCCAAAGATAGGTTACAGCATTTAATTAACAGACAGACAGGTCCTTGGCAGCAAACCGGCACAGACAAGCTTGGGCAGTAATCCAACACAGATAAGGCTTGGCAGCAATCCAGCCTACCAAACTCACAATAATGTAATCCGACATTAATTCCTGGGTTGACTTCTGCAAGAG